TAAGACGCAGGGACTTTTCCCCCCCACTTCTGGGGGGGAAAAAGTGCGTCTTATGGTCCGAAAAATACGGTATATATTTTGCCTTGAATCTTCACTTTTTTCTGGCAGGAATGTGGAAGCAATGACAGAAGAGGAGCAGCCAGGCTGAATCATTGAGGCAAAAATGTTGTAATGGAAGCTACATTTTCAGATGGCTGGATAGAAAGGATAAAAGAAACAAAGCCCGTTTCTTGACCAATTTTTATATAAGAAAAAGGAAATGTCCCACTGTTTAATTCGCTCTACGTTGTTTCTGTCACTCAGTGCTAAATGTACATCTCCATTGATAAAAAAAAAAAAAAAGGCACGTCATAGTGTGGAAAACTCAACAAATTTACAGTGGTGTGGACCATACAGGAGAGAGAAACAAAAAAGCATGTTTCTGGGTGTGTTCCCTGAGTCACCTTGGATGGCAGAGAGAAGGGCAAGCATTAAATCGGACAGGATACAAGGCTGCGAGAGACAAGTCCATCGGGTTCAGTTTAGAGTGAGAATGATGGCTGCCTATTCTGGAGAAGAACTTAACAACATTGGAGAGATACCTTTTAGAAAATTACCCAATTTAAGAATATTTGGTGCCATGGAGACAAAGATTAATATGTACACAAATAGAAATAAAAATCGGAAAGCCCGGAGATTAAGATTTTCCCTTGGATTATAGGAACTGCTTTTGTCTACAGTAGTCCCCCCCTATTCATGGGGGATATGTTCTAACACCCCCAGTAGGATACCTGAAACCAAGAGCAGTACTGAATTCTATGTATACTATGTGTTTTCCTATACAGGGTGGAGTAAAGAAAAGGTTTAGAGTTGTTCATATGGAAAATGAAACAATAATAAGGAAATAATAATATAAGAATAAATTGTGTTTCACCTACTCACAACTGTAAACCTGTTGTTGCCTCATGCTGTATATGCATATCTATGATAAAGCTTAATCCATAAATTAGGCACAAGAAGAGATTAACAACAATAATAAAAATAGAACAATTATAGCAATATAATGTGATAAAAGCTATGTGAATGTGATACTAACCATTCTTCTTGTGATTATGTAAAATAGTATAATGCCAAACCTGTCCCAGAAACTGAGTTTCCATCCCTTTCTGGCAGTAAATAGCTTAGAGTCACTTGTTTTGGTGACTCCCATGTTAAAGTCTTCATCTAGGCTCAGTGCTTCCTGGTGTATCACTTTGCCATCAATCAGAACATGTGTTCTGCTCATGTCTTTCCCTTAACAAATGTAATGCCTTTTCCATCTTAACTGTTTATCACACATGGTGGCTGAAACTTTTGCAGTTTGAAGTGTGACAGTGAGACTATCACCCATTTCTTTTTTCTTCAACAAATAGAGATTTGGTCTTTCTGTAGATTTAAGGCACCTCTCAGCACATGATAATTTTTTTTCTTTTTTTTTTTAAGTCCAGAACTTTCACATTTTTACTTAAAGGGAGTACTTTACAGCTTCTCTTCAGCATATTTGATTTGCCGGCCTTACTCTTGAGCTTTGGGGCTATTATTAGGTAAAATAAGAGTGACTTGAACACAAGCACTGTGATACCAGGACAGTCAATCTGATAACCAAGAGAGCTACTAAGTGACAAGTGAGCAGAAAGCACATGAAATGTGAATGTGCCAAAGCATGATTTATGTCTTGGGCTGGATGGAGTGGGACTCACAAGATTTCATCATGATACTCAGAACATAATTTAAAACTTATAAATTATTTATTGCTGGAATTTTTCTTGTAATATTTTTAGACCCTGGTTGATCTCAGATAACTCCAAACCATGGAAGGCAAAGGGTGTAGGGGCAGACTATTCTACTATCCTTGTGGTAAAACCAATAATATTGGACATCTAACTGCATTGATGTGTTAAGCTCTTTGAAAAGTCATTAATTCATTCAGCAAATATTAATCAAGCTTCTTAATAATTGATTGATAATGATTCTTTTAAAATTTAAAGCTTCTTAGTTCACAACATATGAAAGGGCTGTCAGATACGGTGACTTTGAAGGAGACTGACTATAACTGCCTTTTTCCACTTCTCTTCTACCTTCTCTTATTTTTCTTTCCTTCCATTCTCTTTCCTTTGTTTCAGGAAAATAAATTGGGGAGAAGAATCTCATTCACTTTTTTTTTCTTTCTTTAGGTTTGACATTCTGAGAGCACAGAACAAATAATACTATTGTTATTTAGCAGGAAATCTTAAATGGCAGATAGACATGGCATTAAATAACACTGAAATACATGATGAGATGTTTTCTCTATTTTCCATTTTCTCTTTTTTTACTTTTTTGCCGTTAAGTTAAAAAATATTCAGTAAAATATATAAAAGGGCTGTAAAAATAATTCAAAACATAGTCCCATACCTCTCCCTTTCTTACCTCTTCAATTATCCACCCCAAAGATGAACACTTTTACCTCCTTTCACTTTCAATGATACTTACCTTCATACTTTAAAAGACAATGCTTATAGTTTTATTTGATTACTCAGATTTATCTTTTGACACTATTTGTAATTAATGAAAATTCTATGTGACTTTAAAAATGTGTTTTCCAATTCTCTGATACTCTTTCTTTTCTTGTCTTAATACTCTTCCTCTTGAGTGGCAGCTGGAATGTGTAGCTTGCTTCTGACAATGGAATAAAATAGAAGTGAGAAGTGACAGTGTTTGACTTTGGAGATCAGATCATTAAAATTCATTTTCAATTCCATCATAGTTCTCTCTCTCTCTCTCTCTCTCTCTCTCTCTCTCTCTCTCTCTCTCTCTCTCTCTCTCATCACTTTCACTAAGGTAGCTGCCCTGTTGTGAGAAGGGGCCCACATGGTGAGGAGGAACTGAGTCACCCAATCAATATCCATTGAGGAACTGCCTGGCAGTTGCCATGTGAGTGAGCTTGGAAGCCACCCTCCAACCCCAGCCAAGTCTTCAGATGATTACAGACCCAGCCAATATCTGCACTCTAATTTCATGAAAACTCTTAAGCCAGAGCCATCCAGCTAAGCTACTTCCTAGTTCCTTTTTTAAAATATATTTTATTTATTTCAGAAAGGAAAGGGGAGGGAGAGAGAGAAAGAGAAACATCAATGATAGAATCAATGATAGGCTGCTTCCTGCACTCCCCAAACTGGGATGGAGCTTGCAAGCAGGGCATAATCCCTGACAGGAATCAAACCCTGACCTCTTGGGTCATAGGTCGATGCTCAACCACTGAGCCATGCCAGCTAGGCTACTTCTACTTCCTAATTATTGATCCACAGGAAGTGTGAGGAGAATAAGTGTTTACTGTTTAAAGTTTTGGGGTAATGCAGTAATAGATACCTAATAAAGTACTTTAAAACCATTTTCCCCACACTCCTAATATTGCAACCTGACATTTATAATTAATAAATAACATGTTTATTTCATTATACCTAATAAATGTCAGTCACAAAGCCAACTGTTGTATTATAATTACATGTCCTTACTTTTTTCATTTTTCCTAGAATAATTGGCTTTATTCTACCAGATATAGTTATCTATGTATCTATTCTCATTACTCTTCCAAAATTTTTATCAATCTATCATATAACTCTAAAAGTTTTCTTCACCATAAATGGCATATCATACCAGATCATATAACAATTACTTATTTTTCTCCTTTGTAGACAGGTCATCATGGGACTTGTCCTTCCTTATTCTGGGCTTCCATACATTATTCTACTTGTCATGACCTTATCTTCTTAGATCTTCTGTCTCTTATCTTTGTGCCATTTTCTCTTTTAAAAGAGAACATTATGCAATAACTTCCTAAGTATGGATACAAGGGTGAAAATTATATGGATTTAAATGTATAACAATATTTAATTTGTCTAAAACTATAAATTAGGAGAGGATATTCCATATGAATGTTTTTATAGTTAAAAACTCATTTCTTCCAGATTTTTTTCCTATTTTTTTAGATTTTTCTCAGGCAGAAGACATTTCCAATGCACATAGGAGTGAATAGATAACATACATTGAATACATTATAATTAATAATTTTTCCATTTCAGAAGAAATGTGAATCTGAGCAGATTTTAATTAGTCATAACTTTTGTTATTCTCACTTCCATATGTCCACAGTACTTCTTTATATATTGATTTCAGCATTAGTTAACCTGCCAGTCTCCATTAAAATGTGAGCTCATTACTAACCTTCAGTTGATGCTATTTCATCATGTTTAATGCATAAGTGAAATTAATAGCTTGGGGATAATTATTGCTACATTTATTTCTGATTAAGATGTCTGAATTAGAGGTTGTGTTGGTGAAGATGGAGGCAAGTTTCACTCTCTTCCTCTCCCGTCCTCTCTAAAAATCAATTTTAGAATCTTAAAAAAAAAAGAGAAAAAAAAAGGGAAGATATGGTAATGAAGGAAACAGTAGCAAATTAAAACAATTGGCTAAACATCGTGGTCAAAATGACAAAAGCTAAGTATTTTAAAGTGTGGGGCAGAAACAGCAGAATGTATGGACTTCACACTGTTGGGGCATGGCACCAGGTGTTAGACTATGGGGTGGGGAGAAGGTGTCAGACCAGACCTGGATGCAGCAACCTTGGTACTTGAGTTCTGGCTAGGAAGTCACTCAGAACCAAGACTCAAACCACAAGAGAATATTTGTTTGTGAAATCACAGAAGTAGAAGCAGTACTTCATAGAAGACATGAGCTTAGGAAACACGTTTAAGGGGGAAAGGAAAGGCCCTTGAGGCTTAGAAGTGGGGAAGGTAAAGGAGACTTGCCTGGAGGAAGGGGAAGGAACAGGTCCTGAGGTGCTCCTGGGAGTGTGTGCTGGGTCCTGTCCTAAGGTTTTACAGTGGAAATGTTAGGAGAGGTCCCAGGTGGGGCCACACAACAGTGCCTGTTCACTTGAAATTCAATTATACACACATTCATTTAATCTCGTCCTGGATTTATTTTTATTAGTACTATTATTTTCCACAAGAAAATAAGATTTAATTCTACAAATTTACAAGCCAAGACAAAATAGAAATGAAATGTGGAGAACAAGGCCAGCAATTGGACTCTAGGCCATGTTACCACAGCCTGTCATCAGGGCAGGACCGGGTCTGACTCACAGGCTGCCTCTGCTCTGCCCCTGATCCCGCTGTTTCTGGGTCCACTCTGAACCTCAGAACTTGAGGGTGAAGCCAGGGCCTGAAGCCGAGGCCCCCTGGTTGGTGGTGGAGAGGTGGAAGCTGGTCTCCAGGTCATCGTCACCCAGCTGTCTGTAGCCGAGGCCTCCCCTGGGCGGTCTCGGGCTGGTGCCACGCTTCAACCTTTGCTGTTGGCTCTTGGAGGGCCATGTGGGGAACATCAAGGGGTCGATGGGGAGAGGGGTCTCTCGGAAATATGCGTGCTTGAGACCGTCCTCTGAGCTGATCCTCCGCCCAGGAAAGTAGGTTAGGAACTTGTTCATGATGTCGAAGCCCTGGTCGGAGAGCAGCGCCCCGAAGCGCTTGCGCAGGTTGTTGTAGGGGTGCTTAGTGAAGGTCATCTTCTTCATGGCAGGCAGCTCGTTGTAGCCGGGCCAGATCTCACTGGGCGTCCCCAGGTCCTTAAACACTTTGTTGATCTGATCAATCTCCGAATTTCCAGGGAACAGTGGCTTCTGCGTCAGCAGCTCCCCGAAGATGCAGCCCACAGACCACATGTCCACGGCTGTGGAGTACTTCTTGGCCCCCAGCAGCAGCTCTGGGGCGCGGTACCACAAGGTCACGACAACGGGGGTGTAGGCCTTCAGAGGGGACCCATACTCCCGCGCCATCCCAAAGTCCGCCACCTTGAGGATGCCGGCGTGGCTCAGCAGCAGGTTGGAGGTCTTGAGGTCCCGGTGCAGGATCCAGTTGTCGTGCAGGTGCTTCACACCACACAGCAGCTGGATCATCAGTGTCTTCACCTCCCCTGGCAGGAAAGGCTGCTTCATGGTCTCCATCAGGCTCTTGAGGTCATGCTCCACGTAGTTCATCACAATGTAAATCTTGTCCATGTTGCTGCCCACGACAATCTCCTTGACCGTCAGGATGTTGGGGTGCTGCATCTTGAGAATGGTGTTGATCTCCCTCAGCGATGTGATTGGAAAGCCCTCCTTCTCCGTCAACATTTTCAGCCGCTTCAGAGCCACAATCTCATCTGTCTTCTTGTCCTTGGCTCTGTGCACCACCCCATAGGCTCCCTCCTCAATCCTGTTCAGGCACTGGAACTCCTCCACACTGCGGCAGCCCTGCAGGGCAGGCAGGTACTTGGGCAGCTTCTGCTTGGGCTCAAAGGGTGACAGGGCTGGGGAGTCTGGAGCGAATTCACCTTCCACCAGGGCGGTGCTGTGGGGGGTGCCCTCCTTCACCCTTTTCTCCCCTTCTTTTCTGTCCCCGGATTCTGGGTCAAATCGTGACTCTGGAACAATGAGGATGTGGTTCTCAGCCTCTCGCTCTTCACCTTCACTCATTTCTTCCTCCTTCACCTCCTCAAAACGGGGTATCCGTCGCCTCTTTACTCCTGATGATTCCTTGGAGATCTCAGAGTCGACGCCAAACACTTCCTTTAGCTCCCGTTTCCTGCTCCTGTGACTGCTAGACTTGGAATGTCTAGACCTTCGGCCTTCCCCTGCAGCCTCAAACAGTCTGTCCACAAATTGGAGAGCAGAATCATCCAGAAAAGGTTTCAGGTGGTCAGCTGCTTTCTTCTTGTCCATGCCCTTCCCCACACAGTGCAATGCCGCTGCGACCACTCTGGGCTTTGAGAAACCCAGGACCCTCTTCACTCTCTTCTCTACCCGTGGTTTTAGCTTATCCAGCTCCCTCTGAGACAGCGCCATGCTTCCGGAAAAGGAGGTCAGCTCGAACAGAGCTCTATTCTGCACCTCACCAACTGCAGCCCCTCAGACGGAGCCCGAACGTTACCAATCAGAGTTTTTTAAGCGCTTTACCTCTGCCGAATCCTCTGGCTCCTTCCGGCGCTTCGTTTCCTGGAGAATCTCCAAGAATCCTTTTCATCATCCACTGGAGGGAAGCCATCCTCCCCAACGCTGCTGCTGGTCTGGAGCCTGGACAGAATCTGCAACCCCGATAGGCCTGGAGCATCTTTATAGCCTGCTGACAGCGTGGGATGATGACGTCAGGGAGAACGGAATCCGCAGGTTCCAGCTGAAGAGTAGGGCCCTTGTGCGTCACTTCCGGCTTCAGTGGAGCCTGTTGGGCCTGGTCGCTGGCTCGCTGGCGCCGCCCTGGTGGCTCTTCGCCTGCAGTGCGGACCAGAGCCCACTGCCCACGGCCTGGTGCTTAAGCTCCTTACACTGAGCAAGGCCACAGGGAGCCTGCAGGAAGCAGCCAGTGGTTCACTCCCACAATGTTTCTCTCCCTTCTGCTCTTCAAAAGTCAGTTTAAAAATCTCCTTCTTCCTCCCCACCAGAACAACTTCCAATGGGCAACACTAATTCAGCCCTCCCAGGCCGCCATTTTCATGAATGATGCATTGCGAAGGCAAGGAAAGCAGCTGATCTACAAGCCCACATCCAAGCCTAGCTGGCACTGAAGCCAGGGCTCATTGTCAATGCCCATATGGTGGGCCTGGCCAATCTTCCCTCCCTTCCGCTCTTCAAAAATCAATTTTAAAATAGTCAAATCTAGCTGGTTTGACTCAGTGGATAGAGAATCGGCCTGTGGACCAAAGGGTCCCAGGTTCAATTTTGGTCAAGGGAACATATGGGGGTTGCTGGCTCAAACCTCAGTGTAGGGTGTGCAGGAGGCAGCCCATCATTGATGCTTCTATCTCTCCTTTTCTTCCTCTCCTGAGACATGCCCTAATTATTTGAACAAGCTAGCCCAATTATTTGCAACTCAGTATCTTTATCTATAAAATGATGGATTATTATAGATGACTTGGAAAATAAGGAACTTCTTCAAATCTAATGTGGTACACATAATGTTACCGTATTTTCCGGCTTATAAGACGACTTTTGAAACAAAAAAAAAAGCCTGATCAGATTGGCCAGAGTCAGAGAGGCGATCTATTAAAAAAAGAACTGGTGTTGCCTCGGAAGTGGGGGATAGTCTTATACAGCGAATATAGGCCTAAACCTATGTTTCAACTGTAAAATTAAGGGGGTTGTCTTATACGCCGGAAAATATGGTAAGTCCCAACTTTCCTTTCTTTGACCTTAAAGATTATCGTTATAAAAATATATTGGAGATGAGTGCTCAGGCTTTCTAGTTTTCTGCCCCTGAATCTTAATTCTTATACTTTAAGCAAATCATATATTTTCCTCATTTATAAAACATTTTGGCTTCCTCATTTATACAATAATTGTTTGCTACCATGGTATAAAACATTAGTTATTGTGGAAATAAAGTAGTGAAAAGTATGAAGTGTCATGTCAATGTAAGAAACTGCTATTATAACTATTAGTTATCTCTCTTCTATACTCTTTTACTTAAGAACTCAGAACCACTGAGCCCTAATTAAAGTTTTGCTATATAAACTGAATTGTGTCCCATCAAAGTTCATATGTCGATGCCCTACTTCCCTGGTGACTGTGTGGAAGATAGGGCTTTCGAGTTGATTGAGGCTAAATGATGTCAGAAGAGTGGAATCCTGATCCATAGAACTTGTGATCTTATAAGAAATGTATTTTCTCTGCTATGTGAGGACACAAGCAAGGAATGCCACTAATTGCCAGCACCTATCAGAAGCTGGGAGAGAGGGGTTGGCCAGATCTCCCTCAGAACTTCCAAGAAAATCCCACCAATTCTGTTAATACCTTGGTTTTGAACTTCTAGTCCTCAGAAGTTTGAAATAATTAATTCTTGTTGGTTGAAGGCAGTGGTTGGCAAACACAATAGTCAACAGTACAGCAATTGAAATTTCTTCTGAGAGCCAAATTTTTTAAACTTAAACTATATAGGTAGGCACATTGTTACTAACTTAATTAGGGCATTCCTAAGCTGGCCTTTGCTAAAAACTCAAGGGGCCAAAGAGCTGCATGTGGCTCAGGAGCCACAACTTGTCGACCACTGATTTAAGGCATTCAGATTGTTATAGCAAAACTGAAGGCCTGGTGCATGAAAATTCATGCACGTGGGGGGTCCCGCAGCCCAGCCTATACCCTCTCACAACTGGGACCCCTTGGGTAAGGTCCCTAGGCCTGGCCCGAGATCAGGGGCTTTTGAGGGCTTGCCTTCCCCTGGGTGCAGGCAGCTGGTCCCACCCCCACCACTGCCACTGCTTGCCATCTGTGCAGCACTGCCTCCCCTGCCACCTGTGGCCTCCTTCTGCAAGAGACAGGCATGGAGTGAGATGGCTTGGCTGGCCTGGGCCTCCCTCTGTGGGGCAATAGCCAGCCAGCACACATCTGACACAGAGTTGCTGCTGGTGGCCTGGGATTCCCTCTTTCTTTGCTGGGAGGTGGGCCAGCCCTGTGAGGGGCTAACTGTCTACCCGATCACCCCTGACCCCTGGCCTGCCTACCTATCTAATCACCCCTAAGCACTCTACCTGCCTGCCTGATTGCCCCTAACTAAATACTTGCTTGGGGCAGAACCAGCCCAGGGAGGGGCCATGGTGGTTCTGGTCTCTGTTCATTCTTTATCCTTATGCTTATGGTGGCTGGCCTTTTATTATATAGGATTATACCTGATCTACTTAGATATTATTCAGTTTTATCCTTATTCATGTATAAATGTGTGTGTTTTGTATCTTATGTGTAGTAATTGTATTACATTTTTCAACTTCTTGACCCATTACTGACTACCAGCCAAAATAATTACTTTTGTTTATTTGTTTTGCTGTGTTGTATTCTGTTTTCGTCCAAGACTAGGCCTGGCACCAAATTTAAAAGCACAGCCCAAATACTACATCCCTCCAAGAACTAGGATGCTGCTTCTGTCCCACCACTTCTTTTCTTTCTCTGCCACATTACATTTCCAGCACTGACTACCTATCAACTTCCTCTTGAGATCTTCACAAAACTCCTCTGAACTTTTGAAGTTCAAGGCTGGTCCTCCATTACCTTAGCTAACTTCTGAAGGGTCACACAAGCCTTAGGAGATTCGTAGGTTCAAGCAGCAAAGAAAGATTAAAACCTGCCTGATAGCATTTTCTTAAAGCTGCCCAGAGCCAGAAATCTTCAGTGTATCAGGCATTTTGTAAAGGAAATTGATGGCATGGTTTTATAGGGATTTCTAAGAGAAACCTGAAAAATCTGAAGACCCACATAACACCAAGGAGGTATTACCACTCGAGGAAGGATTGCAGGGGAAAACAATAATTTTTCCTCTTTATATAAAGGAAGAAAGAAACTTTTATATAGATTGTCTTGCCTTATAAAAGGAAAACAAGCCTTAAGTTTATTTGAGTATTTACTGCAGAGATAAATGGGTTGTAGACAGCGCAGAATAATCTTAAGAAGAAAATCAGTAAAATGACTAATTAACCTAAAAGAAATTTTAACAAAAATTTTAAATGACCCCAAATTAGAAAGTTTACGTGAAAATAAAAATAAACTTATTATATATTTAATATATAATATATATGTGTGTATATATGTGTATATATGTACAATATATATATTCTATTTTAAAATTTCTATTTAATAGAAATTTTGAGAAAATTTTTAACTGTATCCTAGATCAAATGATAAAGAAAAGATAACATAACTTAAAGAGTAGAAATAGAAAACATATAATTGGATGGCAACAGTTGAATGTAACACATACTTAGAATTGGGAAGGAAAACCTTGATTCTTTACTCTGGGATCTAAGCTAAAAGGCAACGGCTGATCTGGAATGTCCAGTTCTTTGAGAGAAGGAGGTCCATGGTGGATCCATGAGACTGCACTTAGATCTTATACTTGGTACTAGTGAGCATTACCTGATTGCTTGTACATCAATATAGGATGGAAAAACACTCTCTTTGGAAGGAGCAGCAAATAATTGGTAACAAAATCTTCCATGAGGAGAAGGGAGAAGTAAGGGCTACTTAAAACTTCAAGAGGAGGAAAAAGGGGAACATCTATAATACTTTCAACAATAAAGATAAATTTAAAAACAGAATTTCAGATTACTTATAAGTGTAACTAGAAATTAAAACACAGAGAGCCCTGGCCAGGTGACTTAGTTGGTTCGAATGTCTTCCCTTTCACCAAAAGGTCGCAGATTCCATTCCCAGTCGGTGTATATACTAACATCATGGGTTCAATCCGCGGTCAGGGAAAATCTGGGAGGCAACTGATTGATGTTTCTCTCTCACATCTCTCTCTCTCTCTCTCTCTCTCTCTCTCTCTCTCTCTCTCTCTCACACACACACACACACACACACACACACACACACATTCAATAAACATATCCTCTGGTGAGAGTAAAAAAAAAAAAAAATATATATATATATATATATATATATATATATATATATATACCATAAAAATCTAAACTTAATTTTAAATAGTAGTGCCTTGGAAAGTAATTCAGTAAAGGACATTAGACTAGGCTCTATAGTTTCTTGAAATACAAATAAACTGAAGTTCTTGAGACAGACAGGAAAGGAAATTTTGAAAAAGACTGACTCAGAACATACATTTTATTTGATTATTCCCATGACAAACCAGTTGTGAAGTTTTGCAACATTTACCAGTATTTCCATGATTTCTTTCTTGAAATCACTGCAGACCAGATTCATCTTTTCTCAGCTCCTTTCCTTCATTACCTGAATAATTTCTTTCTTGACTTTAAGCCTCTTATTCTTCAAAATAGCAGTCCCTCGGCCTCTAGAAGCTTTTATTCTAAGCATAAGAACATAGGTTGTGTCATGTCACTCTGGTTTTCAAAAAAATTTGAATGAGATCCTTTGTGTATAAAATAAAGTCTGAAATCTTTAGCATGGCAATCAAGGTCTTCAAAGGCTACCTTCAAAACACATTAGCAAGTCTCATTCTCTATTGAAATCCTTTTATTCATATAAAAAACATTCTATTCACATATTATTTGCTCTCTTAATAGTGTGGGTATTAGTTGGATACATCACCTTAGATAAAGGTGTTTATAATAATCACAAAGATGGTAAAGAATCTAGAAATTTGGAGTTTTAGAAAAAAGTTATTTTAGAGGCAATTTATAGAATGTATCCCAAATAATCTTATTCTTTTTCTTTTTTTTTTAATTTCTTTTGAGAGCCACATTTAAAATTTTTTTTTTAATTAAATTATTATCTGTGTACATATTTTAACATTGCCCCCTCCCTCCCAAATAATCTTATTCTTAAAAAAAAAATTTGATTGGCTTATGGCTATGAAAAGTCTGGGTGTATCTGGCTGTAGGAAGGGCATGGTCTAGGGCAGCGTTTTTCAACCGCTGTTCCGCGGCACACTGTTGCCTGGTGTGCCATAGGTGCAGACAAGACAAGAATTTTATAATTTTTCACTATTTTGTTTACTTAATATTTCATAATAAAGTAATTATAAAATACTTTCTTTGTGTTTATTTGATTCCTATTCAAGAGAATTACTTTATATATAGTCAATATAGGCACAGAGTTAAATTTTTTAACATTTTCTAATGGTGGTGTGCCTTGTGATTTTTTTCATGAAACAAGTGTGCCTTTGCCCAAAAAAGGTTGAAAAACACTGGTCTAGGGATTCCTGCTGCCAGAAACCAACCATTGTCTCACTAAGAAAAGATGTAAAAGGCTGGTCAACCTTGAAGCTCTGAAAGGTCAGAGCCAACCACTCCCTATCTAATTGAGACAAAGGTAACTGAGGTAACTTCCCCATCTTGTAATCATGTAAATCCTTACTGATATGATAATCCACTTATTACTTGCCTAAGGGCTATGGGTCTCCCAAACCTGCTTAAGGGTAATGGGTGTATCCCATAGTCTCAATAAAAGGGAATAGCCAGGCCCCCCATATCACCAAATTAAATGTCTTCTAGTCTCTCTTCAATTTGCGTGCAGCCCTTCTCCAGAACCCAAACCCTGAACCCTGAACTGGAACCTGAACCACGCGGGACGTGAAAGGGGCTCCCATACCTGTGATGTGCTCAGTTTCCATTTCTCCATCGCTCAGTACAGCCCCAGGACGGCTCCCTGCAGGTATTTATTCCCAGTATCTCTGGGGTTACATTTCACCATCTTTGCTGGGCAACACCAGAAGTAAGTATGCTTCTTTTTTCCTAATTGTTACAATAGACGCCCTTAAATGAATTTATATTGGTCTGGCAATTTCATTTCTACACCCAAGGGGTGGAATACACTGCTTAGCCACACTGAGGACAATGGATTTCATGTAGATCCAAACATGTAGGATTCAAACTGGGTCAAGGATAGTTAGCCCAGCATTGACTCATCTCAGGAAGAGGAATGAGCGTAAGGCACACATGGACAATAGTCATCTACTGCACAATACATCAAAAATTGTTGGGGAAAAAAAAAACATTCTACTTAGTGCAGAAAAGAAGCTGTCTAAAGGAGCATTCAGAAAAGCTATCTTAGAAGATTTTCTCATAAGAAAAAGGGAATAGATTTGTTCTTCATAACTCTGGGAGTTGTGCAAAGGGTTAATGAATAGAAGTAACAGAATGGAAGTAAAAGAGGAAAGTTTTTCATTAAAAAAAAAAATGGTATAAGGGAAGTTCCCGCCCCAGAGAGTGGTGAAGCAACAGCCACAGTTGATAGTAAGATTCCCACAAGAGTAACACTTCAGAGACGGCACCTCAGCCTGGTTCAACAGTTCAAGGAGCTCATATTTCTCATATTGCTCAACAGGTATCGTCTTTATCTGAAAGTGAAGAATCTCAGGACTCATCTGATAGCATCGGCTCCTCACAGAAAGCCCACGGGATCCTAGCAACGCGTCCATCTTAAAGAAAACTTTTGAAAGATCTATCTTCTGAAGATACACAGGGCAGAAAAGGAGACAGAGAAAATCCTGGAGTTTCTGCTGTCACTCCTATGTCTGTTCCAACTTCCATCTATCAGACTAGCACTGGACAGTACATTGCCATTGCCCCCAATGGATCCTTACAGCTGGTCAGTTCAGGCACAGATGGAGGTCAGGGGCTTCAGACACTAACTATGACAAATTTAGGCAGTACTCAACAAGGTACAACAATTCTCCAGTATGCACAGACCTCTGATGGACAGCATATATTTTTGCCCAGCAACCAAGTGGTTGTACAAACTGCCTCAGGAGATATGCAGACATACCAGATTCCTACCACACCTTCAGCATCTTCGCTGCCACAGACTGTGGTGATGACATCTCCTGTGTGTCTTACATCTCCGGAAACTAAGACAGATGACCCCCAGTTGAAAAAAGAAATAGGGTTAATGAAAAACAGAGAAGCTGCTCGAGAATGCCGCAGAAAGAAGAAAGTATATGTGAAATGCCTGGAAAATCGAGTTGCAGTCCTGGAAAATCAAAATAAAGCTCTACTAGAAGAGTTAAAAACTTTGAAGGACCTTTATTCCCATAAAAGTCTTTGATATTGAAGAAACTATTTTTGTGGACTTGCCTAAAAATTAAAGGGATTTTTTCTTTTTAGTGGAGTTTTATAAATTAAAAGGTCAAAAATGAAGCTTTTATTTAGGCTTTGCAACTGAAAGATAAATGTCTTATGCAAGAGAACTGGTGACAGAGGATAAAGTGGAAAATGGCCTCAAGGAAGATACTGGCACAACTGGAAACTCTGTAAAAAGCATACTAAAAAAGCAGGAAGTGAAGCTTCACCAATCTGAATTTTCTAAATAACAGTAGTTGTCAATAATCCAAAAATGACAGATAAAATGAAATTTGGTAAATTTTCAAAATTAAATCTATTTACCCTATAGGTATGCATTTCATAGTGTTTTCTAAAATTTACTTTTTTCAATTGTATGCATGTGTGTATTTTATTCCTGCCAATAAATTCTAAATTACCAAAAGAAAAACTATACATAACCAAAAATAAATAATTATGTGTTCTGATTACTTACACTTGTTCTATTTTTGAGTATTTTTAATGGGTTTTAAGTTTGTTCATTGGACTTGACAGCATTTTGGAGAGTGGATTAAACTAATTTTGATAAAATTTTTAAAAAAAGGAATAAGTTAGAGAGTATGGATGGAACAAAATTTAGGAGAATGAACCTCGGAAGAAAACAGTCAGCTCTATCATGAGGCAGAGGCTCCGAGGTTGTAAAGAGGATGCAATCAGGACATGCACACCAATGGTGGGTGTTTAGAAAGCTGGGGACATTCCTTTGCCCCAGGAAACTTACCTCTATGTTTTCACACTCCAATTATTAGGATTTTAAGTAAGTTGGGAAGCATGAACATGGAAACATCAGTCAGCCATTTACAGGCCAGCCACTAAAATATAGGCCCATCAATAGTATAGGCCATCGTATAATTGTTAAATAAGTGACACAGCAAATATCTTGGGTTTGAGTCCTAATTACACATTTACTTTTATATAATAATCCACTGAATAGTTTGATCTGTACAAGGCTCCATTTTGTCTTTTATAATGAGAAATAATAATATGCCTCTACCCCTAGCAATCCTTCAAAGACCAAATAAGACTGCTTCTTCTAATGCAGGATTCAATTATTACTGTTTTGCTTGTTTGTTTTAATTTATCCTTATTGCTGAAAGTATTACCAATGGCTGCTTTTCCCCTCATTGAATCCCTGCATCTCTCCTCACCAGGCCTTTGCCGCAAAGCACTCTGTGTGTTTTGCTGTTCATTTGAGTAAGAAACTAGTTATTTATTACTTGACTTTAAGAAGCTTACAGTGTAGGAGGGAAAAAAGTTAACAAACATAAATTAGGAGTTAACCTAAATACATAATAATAATTTGAGCCCAATCTGGTAACATTATATTTTTAAATCAATCTTATTTTACTCGAAAAATAAGTAATTTTATTTCAGTTCTCTCTCTTCACCACCCTGTCCCTACCTCTTCCCATAAACTATTTTTATTAAGTATTTATCAATTCCTTTAATGAGTTGCTCATGTAAAACAAGATAAAATTTTCTCACATTTCTTCTCATAGCGTCTGTTTGAGAAATGACTGTGTGGAACTTAGAGCAAAAAAATATGTCACTAGAATATTAAAGTAGCACAGATGATTAAATATCACACCTTGCCTGTTTCTTTGGCAAGCAAAAGGAAGAAACAAAGATAAAATATTAGCACATAATTTTCATATGAATATGTTGGGGAGGAAATAATTGAAAAAAACTATTTTTAAAAAATTTACTTATACCTGATACTTTTTAAAGCCTCAAAATTTATTGGGATGCTTTTCCTAAATAATAGCATTGACAAACCAGGTATAGAATATTTAAAAGTCAAACTTAGCCTAGACTGGTTTGGCTCAATGGATAGAGCGTCAGTCTGCGGACTGAAGGGTACCAGGTTTGATTCCAGTCAAGGGCATGTACCTTGGTTGCGGGCACATCCCCATTAGGGGGTGTGCAGGAGGCAGCTGGTCGATGTTTCTCTCTCATCAATGTTTCTAGCTCTCTATCCCTCTCTCTTCCTCTCTGTAAAAAAAATCAATAAAATATAAGGTGTATTAAAAAAAAAAAAAGTCAAACTTAGAACAGCATATAGTAGCTAGACCAAGGAAAGAATACTATTAATAAATACTTTCTTTTCTTAATATTGAGGAAGTTTCTACTAAGTTAACAGAATTGAATTTAATATATCTAGCTTTTCAGAAAACATCATCTCAAAAATTGAGGATTCCTTTAATGTCTCTGAAATCTAAAAATTCCTTGAGTCCATTTTTATTTGGTAAAGGATCTTACAGTTTAGGCAAATTTCCCTAATGAGGTCAAGTAAGTTATTTGATATAATTTTAGGAAACAATCGTTTCATTGAGATATAGTTACCATTCCATACAATTCACACACTTACTAAACTATACAATCCAGTGAATTTATTATAAGTATATTTATAGAGTTGTGCAACCATCAGCACAGTCTAACATTAGAATATATTTATCACCCACAAAAGACAGAAGAGAAACAATTCAGAGATGAATGATGCTGATGATGTTTTTGTCCATCAGTTTATGTTGTTCATTATTTCCTCTAGATGTGTGAGATCCTGTGATTCAAGAAATACCCTTGTTGCCGAAGCTGGTTCGGCTCAGTGGTAGAGCGTCGGTCTGCGGACTGAAAGGTCCCAGGTTCGATTCCAGTCAAGGGCATGTACATTGGTTGTGGGCACATCCCCGGTAGGGGGTGTGCAAGAGGCAGCTGGTCGATGTTTCTCTCTCATTGATGTTTCTGGCTCTCTATCTCCCTCCCTTCCTCTCTGTAAAAAAATCAATAAAATATATTTAAATAAATAAATAAATAAATAAATAAATAAATAAATAAATAAATAAAAGAAATACCCTTGTAAAAACCTAAACTGCAATAAGCCATAATGTTTGTGCTGAGGGGCAAATGAATCAGTCTGTAGTGAGTTCCTTTCTGGGCCAACAGTTCTTTTGAGTCCCAATTTCAATGTCACAAAGTTCCTTATGTATACATATCAGCCATGATATTTCAGATCTGGTTGGTGGACAAATGGTGGTGATGCAGGTCCAACCATCTCTGGTTTGGTCCTGGGCATCCTTCAGCAATACACTGTCTGCTGGGACGGTGAGGCATCGTCAGCATCTTCCATCTCTGAATTGTGTCTCTTCTGTCTTCATGGCTGGAGCACTTCTGTCTATTCCTCCCTGTCACGGGATTCCAGATGGTCTCGGAGTTGTTTTCTGAAAATATACAAATATATTCTCGACCAAAAGTTAATAAAGGGATATTTTCTTTAAATTTGACTTGGGATTTTTTTTTTCATTTTTTCCCCCCAAATAATTTTTCTCTGGCTTGTTTTGACACCATGTGTGTATTTTCATGGGTATCTTGCTGTTAGCGTTTCGAATGAAGGTTAATTTTCTAAAATACAAATTTTTTAGATGTAAATTATTCTCAGGATATTTTTCCTTACATGACATTCTTCCATTGTCACCCCCTTTTTTAATTTAAATAATAGGAGACTTACGGAAATTTTATAATGTAGTCTTGTTAGCTTTTACATTTTAATTATTTGCGCTACACTATGATTGCTTTAGGTTCATAACATGTTATGCAATTTTACCATGAGATGCTCTGCCAATAAGAATTTTGTTAACACTTTAGGAACAGCTTTTTGTACAGTACAATCAGTTTTTCTAGAATATTCATTTATTTCCATTAGCCACATTAATTTCCTCTGAGAAATTGGCTACTATTCATCTGTCAAACTCAACACTCTAGCAACAATCTTACTTACCATGTGTGTATTAGTGGAATTGATTATTGGCCTTCTTAAGAAGGGCCTGAGCATTCCTGCTACTAGGCTGGACTTGCATATTAAAAACCTACTTGCCCACATTATGGGTACAAGACCGCTCAAACAAGTCTTATTGCAGTGAGAGGGCAGCTGCTGTCAGCCAAGTTTCTGTTACCTGGGTTCCAATTTGAGTTGTGCATGGAAAGTGAAGCAGTCATGGGGGCAGGAGACCTCCCTCAGAATGGGAGAAGGTTCAGGTGCCTGCCATGTTGCAGGGGGGGTGGTAAGTGTCTATGCTCCACCTCTGTTGACCCCCAAGTTTTCTCCTGATAGGCCCTCTGTGACTGTGCCTGTCTTAGGTTGTTCCTTCCCTGAGGAATCTTACCTGTCTCTGGCTAACCAGCCATCCTCTGGGGCCAACCAGGGTGATGTGAGGTTTAATTCTGTCTCCTTGGTAGCCTATGCCCTCACGGGCTCCACGCCCAGCACTTGCCTTGGGAACCCCTCACCTGCTGGCGAGGCCCAGGCATTGATCTCATATTTTTGGGAGCCCATGTTTCTTCTCCAGAGAGGGCCCAGCTCCCCCCACTGGGTGGGTGAGAGATCCATGGTATCAGCCATCATGGTGCTTCAGCCTCAGCATGAACTGAAAGGTCAGGCAACAGTTGTGGGCACCTGGACCATGAGAAGAGGTTCATTTTTGGCCAAAAAGGCAAGACGGGCCAATATAGAATGCTCAAGAGCCTTCCCAGGGGAAGGGATGAAGTCCTTTCATGTCGTTTTTAAATAGCTGTCAGACATTCAAAGGACTGGTTTGTATGTTGTTTGGGATAATTTTACAATATGCTATTGTAATTCTAAAATATCTAGAGCTGTGTTACCTTTGTCTCCAAGCACCAACATAAAATATATATATAATAAAATAAAATGAATGATTTTTTTATTGATCCCCCATGGTGTGAGGTACTATTTTAGGTAATGGGGATAACCCAAATCTGGGAAAAATTATAATGACCTTGTAGAATAATATCATGTAAGAATATTCTTTGCTCTAGGCCATGGAAACTCCATTTTAAACTGGCTGTCAGTTTCTCTTTGTTGTTACAAGGTCTTTGTTTCATTTTTTACACCTCTCCCAGGACGTGTGCTTATTGATTATTTTCATTTTCAATGTCTGTTAAGATTCTTTGCCCATGTTTTAATTGGGTTACTTTTATTGTTGTTGTTGAATTTTAAGAATTATTTATATATTCTGGATACTATAACTTTATCAGATATCTGGTTTGCAAATATTTTCCTGATGCGTTAGTTGTCCTTTCACTTCTTTAATGTCATCCTTTGAAGCACAAGTTTTAAATTTTGATGAAGTCTAATGTATCTCTCTTGGCACTTGGGCTTTTGTTATCATATCTGAGAAGACTGTCTAACTAATCCAAAGTCACAATGATTTGCTCCTAGATTTTCTTTTAAGAGTTTAGTAGCTTTAGCTCTTACATTTAGCTCTATAATCCATTTT